CCAGCCCCACTGGCTGCCAGTTTGCTACCAGGCACAATTCAAAGTGCTGGCTTTGGCCTATAACGGCCCCGGCCCAAATTACCTGTCCGAATGCATCTCCCCCTATGTACCATCACGGAGATTAAGATCCTCTGGGGAGGCTCTACTTTCCGTCCCGCCATTGTCACAGGCACGATTGATGGGGATGAGAGACAGGGCCTTCTTGGTGATTGCTCCCCGGCTATGAAACTCCCTTCCTGGTGAGATCAGGTCGGCCCCCTCCCTCCTGTCCTTTAGAAGGATGCTAAAAACTTGGCTGTGGGACCAAGCTTTTGGGACAGGGCAATAAAGCAGCAATAGGAAAGATGACCAGGCCAATTAGATTTGATGCGGATGACTAGGACGGTTTTAAATGGTGTATTTTAATATTTTGATAATTTTTTTTAATGTTTATGTATTGTATGTGAATTTGTGTCCCGGCATTGAATGTTTGCCATGTTTGCCCTGAGTCCCCTTCGGGGTGAGAAGGGCGGAATATAAATGTTTTAAATAAATAAATAAATAAATATTGCGTATTTGAGCCAAGTTTGGTCCAGATCCATCATTGTTTGAGTCCACAGCGCTCTTTGTATGTAGGTGAACTACAACTCCAAAACTCAAGCTCAATGCCCACCAAACCCTTCCAGTATTTTCTCTTGGTCATGGGAGTTCTGTGTGCCAAGTTTGGTTCAATTCCATCGTCGGTGTTCAGAATGCTCTTTGATTGTAGGTGAACTATAAATCCCAAATGACAAAATGAACTCCCCCAACCCCACCAGTATTCAAATTTGGATGTATTGGGTATATATGCCAAATTTGGTCTGGTGAATGAAAAAAAAAACCCTGCATATCAGATATTTACATTACAATTTATTAAAATAGCAAAATTACAGTTATGAAGTAGCAACAAAAATAATGTTATGGTTGGGGGTCATCATGACATGAGAAACTGTATTAAGGGGTCGCGGCATTAGGAAAGTTGAGAACCATTGCGGTAGATGTACAAGCATGTTTTACTAAATCAGAGTTTTAGATCTGTCGTGTGAACACTAACCTCTATGTAGCTGTACAGGAAGAGAGAAAGGAAACCCCCTGCTTTAAACATCTTGTTCATGTGTAATTTATATAAGTGGCTTGTTTGCCTCTGAGGGTCAACACTCACAGCTCTTCTGAATTAGCTATGCTAAATTCTTTTTAAAAAGTAGGTTACATGTTCAGGACCAAAATACTCTAATGTGAGAAGTTGTCCTGCTTTGTTAGCATTGACTGTCTTTCTTTTTCAGTAGAATCACTATGCTAAGCTGCTGTTGAAAATAACTTGATGTTAAATGATGGTGGGAGAGGGTGGAATAAACCAGACTAAAATTTCACCTTCTGGTTTAATATTTTTCACAGTGGTCTCTTGCATAAAGTCATTTTCAGGTTACATATTTCCTTGTTGTCTGAAAAGCATTGGGTTGGGGGTGGGATGGCAGTGAGGTTTCTGCTATGGAAATTGATCTGTATTTTGTAATTGAGTGACACCAGGCCAAGGATATTTAATTTATCGTGTTAGGAGCGAACCAGACAGTTGTATTGCATTGAAAACAAACAAACAAAACACAAAGTTTGCAAGCTTGGTATTTTATTAAATGTCCTTTGACCAGTAGCTGGCCACTTGGAGTGCCTCTGGTGTTGCTATAAGAAGGTCCTCCATTGTGCATGTGGCAGGGCTCAGGTTGCATTGCAGCAGGTGGTCTGTAGTTTGCTCTTCTCCACACTCGCATGTCGTGGTTTCCACTTTGTAGCCCCATTTCTTAAGGTTGGCTCTGCCTCTCGTGGTGCCAGAGCGCAGTCTGTTTAGTGCCTTCCAAGTCTCCCAGTTTTCTGTGTGCCCAGGAGGGAGTCTTTCATTTGGTATCAGCCACTGATTGAGGTTCTGGGTTTTAGCCTGCCACTTTTGGATTCTCGCTTGCTGAGGTGTTCCAGCAAGTGTCTCTGTAGATCTTAGAAAACTATTTCTTGATTTAAGTCGTTGATGTGCTGGCTGATACCCAATCAGAGGATGGGCCGGAGATGTCACTGCCTTGGTCCTTTCAGTATTGGTTGCTACTTCTTGGCGGATGTCAGGTGGTGCAATACTGGCTAAACAGTGTAATTTCTCCAGTGGTGTAGGGCGCAGACACCCCATGATAATGCGGCATGTCTCATTAAGAGCCACATCTACTGTTTTAGTGTGGGCGTGCATACTCAGCAGCAGAGTAGCATAGCGCAAGGGCAGATGTATCTGGTTGTGATCCCCAGGTTGTGCCAGTTAGCTTTCTAGCGTCCACTTTTTGCTTGATATTCAGGCAGTGCTTCTTGTAGGTCAGATCATGGTCCAGAGTGACTCCCAGGTATTTGGGTGCGCTACAATGCTCCAAGGCCAAGGATAACGTACATCTTATTTCCAATGGTTTGGAAAGGGGTCTCCCATTCTGTTCCAGTCTTCTGAAGCTATGGTCTAATGTCATCCTCGTCAACAAATTCAGATAGTAGATGTAAATCCAAGATGTAATTTTCAAAAAGAAAATAAAGTTATCTGATTAGTTTGCTTCATTTTTCTGGGTTCACTGTGCTCTATTATCCTTTGTTGTTGTTCATTCATTCAGTCGTTTCCGACTCTTCGTGACCTCATGAACCAGTCCACGCCAGAGCTCCCTGTCGGCCGTCGCCACCCCCAGCTCCTTCACCGTCAATCTAGTCATTTCAAGCATCCCATCCATCCATCTTGCCCTTGGTCGGCCCCTCTTCCCTTTTCTTTCCATTTTCCCCAGCATAATTTATCTTCTCTAAGCTTTCCTGTCTTCTCATGATGTGGCCAAAGTACTTCAACTTTGCCTCTACTATCCTGTCTTATCTTTATTTTAAGTGTTCATTTTTTCCCCAGTTTCCCAGGACAGACTACAACTAATATTTTTGCTTGATCTGGTTTTAATTGTTTATTTTGTCTGGAGACGACTCAAAGCTAGACAAAATTGTGGGTTATTGAATTAAATGATAAGACACAACAAACTGTATACAGCGACATCTTTCTGGTATGGGAGTCTTCTCTGTTTTGTTGATTTCAGTCAGGAAAAAACAGCCACCAGTTTCGTGTTTAAATCCTACATGGTCCATGTTATTAAAAGTGTAAATAAATGTCCTGAGAGATGGGTACTTTAGTTTAAGCTTGGAAACTATGAGCCTCATGGTCTCAGGTAAGCCTTCGAGGTGCGTTAGAGAGAGGGAAACTAAAATGGTTTCCATATAGAAATAAGTATTGTACCCTCGAAAGGAGACCAATGATACTCTAAAACAGGGGTCCTCAAACTTTTTAAACAGAGGGCCAGGTCACAGTCCCTCAAACTGTTGGAGGACCGGATTATAATGTGAAAAAAAAAAAGCATGAATGAATTCCTATGCACACTGCACACATCTTATTTGTAGTGCAAAAACCACTTTAAAACAATACAATAATTAAAGTGAAGAACAATTTTAACAAATGTAAACTTATTGGTATTTCAATGGAAAGTGTGGGCCTGCTTTTGGCTGATGAGATAGGATTGTTGTTGTTATTGTTGTGTGCTTTCAAGTTGTTTTAGACTTAAGTTGACCCTAAACAAGGGCTGGGTAAATGACCTTGGAGGGCTGTATCTGGCCCCTGGGCCTTTGTTTGAGGACCCTGCTCTAAAACTCTGATTCCCAACCTTTTTTTTTGACCAGGGACCACTTGTCCTGGGACCACTTTGATCAGGGACCACTCTCCAAAAATAGTACCAACAGGGTTACGAATCAGTTTTTGGTCAACTTTAGATTTGGTTTGGTTATTTGGGGTGCTGATTCAGAAAATTGCATTGGATAGACCACATCCGCTCTAGTTTTTGATACAGAACATATGCCATCCAGTATTTGCCATCTGCTTTCCCACAGAAAACCATATTTAATAAGCCTTGGCATTATAAGAGGGTTTTGTGAGACCAGTAGCTTTTGTTGCAACGGTGTAGTAACGGTGAGGCCGCGGACCATATTTTAGTTCTTGCAGACCACTGGTGGTTCACAGACCACTGCTCTAGAAGTATGTTGTTGTTCATTCGTTCAGTCGTCTCCGACCCTTCGTGACTTCATGGACCAGTCCACGCCAGAGCTCCCTGTTGGCCGTCACCACCCCCAGATCCTTCAAGGTCAGTCCAGTCACTTCAGGGATGCCATCCATCCATCTTGTCCTTCGTCGACCCCTCTTCCTTTTGCCTCCCACTTTCCCCAGCATAATTGTCTTCTCTAGGCTTTGCTGTCTCCTCATGATGTGGCCAAAGTACTTCAACTTTGTCTCTAGTATCCTTCCCTCCAGTGAGCAGCCGGGCTTTATTTCCTGGAGGATGGACTGGTTGGATCTTCTTGCAGTCCAAGGCACTCTCAGAACTTTCCTCCAGCACCACAGTTCAAAAGCATCGATCTTCCTTCGCTCAGCCTTCCCTAAGGTCCAGCTCTCACATCCGTAGGTTACTACAGGGAATACCATGGCTTTGACTAGGCGGATCTTTGTTGCCAGTCTGATGTCTCTACTCTTTACTATTTTATCGAGACTGGACATTGCTCTCCTCCCAAGAAGTAAGCGTCTTCTGATTTCCTGGCCACAATCTGCATCTGCAGTAATCTTTGCGCCTAGAAATACAAAGTCTGTCATGGCCTCCACATTTTCTCCCTCTATTTTCCAGTTGTCAATCATTCTTGTTGCCATAATCTTGGTTTTTTTGATGTTTAGCTGCAACCCAGCTTTTGCGCTTTCTTCTTTCACTTTGATTAGATGAAATTAGATGCTCTAGAAGTATCTTCAGGTAAAATATCCTAAGCCAGACACTGTTTGGTATGTTAGCTATGCAACTTTTCTTAGTTGTTTCATTTTCTTGTTTTGTTTTGTTTTTGTTTTTTGCTCTTCTTAAGGTAAGCTATTTGATCCTCAGCCCCTTCTTTTCTTTTCCCAGGAAACAGGAGCAGTTCCAAGCGGATCCTGACAGTTACAATGGAGCCGTGAGAGAGAACTATACCTGGTCCCAAGACTACAGTGACCTAGAGATTAAAGTCATGGTGCCCAAGCACATCCTGAAAGGCCGACAGGTAAATGAGCACCTAGGTGGTTTCTGCCCCTTTGATCAGCACCCTTTGTACCCAAGTATTTTACCCGAGTAGTGGACTTTGGTACTCTGCTGTCACCTGCTCAGTTGCTTGAAGACATAATGCTCCTGGCCTACGATAACACAAACAAGTGAGTTTAGAGCAGGGGTATCAAACTCATTTTCATGGAGGGCCACCTCAACCTTATGGTCGCTCCCAGAGGGCCATTGAATTCATGGATGGAGAATTCCTGGATACAGAGAGCCATTTATATTTTTTTTACATAGTAGTTAGTGATCTTTAGTTTTCATCCAGTTTGGGTCCCCAGATGTTACTGAATGACAACTACCATTGCTTTTGATTATTTGCCATGTGGGATGGGGATACAGCCCAACAGTACTTGTGGCTCTGAGGTTGGGGAAAAGGTGAAAGGACATTTTAAAGCCATATCCACATATCTAAATCCCAGTCTCACTTTCCTGACTGAACAGAGCAAACTGCAGCCTTCCAGATGTTACTGCATGACAACTCCCATTGGCTCTAGTCATGTCTCATGTAATCCAGGATTCAGAGATCAACATAAAATGACATGGTGGATTGGATTCAAATCATAGGCTCTGAGTCTGACATGAGTGGTTTAGATCCCATCAAACTCATCTAAATAAATAGAAATGTAATGTTTGCTTGTGGGATTAACTTAACTCAAAAACCACTGGCGAATTGACACCAAATTTGGACACAATACACCTATCAGGCCAATGAGTGACCATCACTCATAAAAACACAGAAAAACCACAGTGGAAGGGACTTAAAAAGCAAAAAAAAAAAAAAAAAGGCAAAAAGATGCTACAGCGCGAGTGCAAAAACAACTTCCCCCGGCAAACAAAACACACAATAATAATATAATTATAATAAAATAATAATAAACTTTATTTATACCTCGCCACCATCTCCCCCAATGAGGACTCAGGGCGGCTTACATGAGGCCATGCCCAAACAACAAAATACAATAAAATAAGATACAAATTGCAAATAAATAAACAACATAGCATTAAAATGTATAAGTATATAAACAATATACACAATAGCATATCCAAACTCTCTTCCGGACTACAGCTCCCAGCATCCCCTAGACAAGGCCCTTTAGGAGAGGAGGATGATCCAAATGCACTGCTTCCAATCTGCAAGCTTTCTTCTCCTTGGATTTCTTTGAGAGCATCCCAATCCCTGCATATTTCCAAATTCATATTCCTGGACTGCAACTCCCAGCAATCCTCCAGTTAGATAAGATAGATAGATTAGATAGAGATAAATAGATAGGTAGGTAGATAGATTGATCAGGAAGACTGCTGGGAGTTGCATTCCAAGAATAGGTAGAGAAGGATGGGGAGAAAGAGGAAGGGAAAAAAGGGGAGGGAAGGAAGGGAAGAGGAAGAGAAGGAAGAAAGGAAGGAGAGAAAGAAAGGAGAAGAGAAAGAGGGAGGGAAGGTTGGCCACAGCAACACGTGGCGGGTACAGCTAGTGTGAAAATAAAAACTTTTAGTCTTAAGGGTGCTGCTATGTGTCTTCCCCCTTTCCTTTCCTCTTTTGTTAATGCTTCATAATGTAGTTGGTTCAGATTGTCCACCAGAGGGCCACCTGTATTACTGCTAAATTCCAACAGAGGGCAGGGAGGGATGGCGTCTTCCTAACACATTTCCCCAATTCCATCACCTTCAGACTGAACCCAAATGCACATGCACTGACATTTCTACTTTCCTGTATTTTTATACCAGTTCTCCAATTTGGAAACATTGAAGAATGTGTATTGCTTTTAAGGCAGGAGAGAAATAAGCAAACAAATAATAACACAGCCTAACATTTTTTCCCCCTGGTTTGTAGGTTTGTTCCTGGGGTTATTTGGGGCGCTGGTTCAGAAAACTGCATTGGATGGACTGTATCAAGTCTAGTTTCTTAGATATGGGTATCCTGATTTTCTATGGGTGGGCAGATGAAGACTGGTGTATGGCATATAATAATGATGGTGGTGGTGGTGGTGGAGGAAATACAATCAAGGCTAACAACACCTGGGCCATCCCCTTCATTAGATACATGGCTGGAATTGTGAACTGGACACAAGCAGAACTGGATGATCTGGACAGAAAAACAAGAAAACTGATGACAATCCACTACTCGTTACACCTGTGTAGTGATGTCAACAGACGTTACCTGCCCAGAAAATCAGGAGGCAGAAAGAGCGCTTCTGCAAGTGAAACAAATGGTAGAAGAAGAGAAACATGCGCTGGCAGATTATGTGAACCAACATTGAGGGAAGTCAATAGGAGTAAACTGCTTAAAGTGCAAAAGACAAAGAGTGAAAACTGTAAAACAACAATCCAGAGCAGAAGAGAAAACTGGCAAAAGAAGGCACTCCATGGACAGTTTCTGGCTGTCGCTGCACAAGGCTGAAGACCTTGTGGGTGCCTCATCAAACTACAAATCCCACTCTGGCACTTAGGCTTTGTGTAATAATAATAATAATAATAATAATAATAATAATAATAATAATAATAATAGTAATACACCAGACATCACGATTGTGGAAAAGAAAAAAGTGGATTATTGATGTCGCGATACCGGGTGACAGTCACACATTGAGGAAAAACCGCTATCGAGACCTCAAAATCGAACTGCAAAGGCTCTGGCATAAACTAGTACAGGTGGTCCCAGTGGTCATTGGCGCACTGGGTGCTGTGCCAAAAGATCTCAGCCGGCATTTGGAAACAATAAACATTGACAAAATCATGATCTGTCAACTGCAAAAGGCCACCTGACTTGGATCTGCGTGCATCATTCGAAAATACACCACACAGTCCTAGACACTTGGGAAGTGTTTGACTTTGTGATACGAAATACGGATTTTGTGATCCGAAATCCAGCATATAGATCTTGTTTGCTGTGACATACTGTGCTTTTGTGTAAATAATAATAATAATAATAACCCAAGAACAAGCCATTAGAACCAATGCCATCAAAGCCAGAATTGAAAAGTCGACAACAGATTCCAAATGTAGACTCTGCAAGGAAGCAGATGAAACAATAGATCACATCCTCAGCAGCTGCAAGAAGACTACAGACAGACTACAAGCAGAGACATAACACCGTTGCTCAGATGATTCATTGGAACTTGTGCCACAAATACCATCTGCCTGTGACAAAGAACTGGTGGGATCACAAGCCAGAAAAAGTTACAGAGAATGAACACGCCAAACTCCTCTGGGACTTTCGAATACAGACAAACAGAGTTCTGGAGCACAACACTCCTGACCTCACAATCATGTTAAAAAACAAAGTATGGATCGTCGATATCACAATCCCAGGTGACAGCAGGATTGCAGAGAAACAACAGGAAAAGCTGACATGATATTAGGATTTAAAGATCGAACTGATTGTGGGCTCCGGGAAGATCTTCTACAAGCCAAGGTTGCATGTGGGGTTTATTGAAGTTTGGATGGAGCCTGTTGCTAAAGCATGTATCAACCGTGGGCATCCATTTTGCTCTACATTGCTTTCCTGGATCTGTGACTCATAAAGAAAAAAGCGATAGACTTTGGTGAAATCATAAGTCAAGTGTGCCTCGTCATCTAATTTCCTTTGACTTTAGCTGAGGTGGGGGAGGAGGGGGCAGCATTTAAACCTATGTGAAATTTGCTTGCTGTAGGGAAGCTTGCCGTGTTTATTTCAAAGGATGCAATGAATGCAATATTCCTGCTTCTTGGCAGGGGGTTGGACTGGATGGCCCATGAGGTCTCCTCCAACTCTTTGATTCTATGATGGACTCTAAGGAAGAGACTTTCTCTCCCGCTGCTTATATTTTTGATAATTTATGTTTATAAAGGTCTCCTAGATGATGCTGTTCTCCCCCTCTTGCTTGTTCTTTTCCCTCAATCTTTGGATCCGTGGCCCCCCCCCCCCCCCCCCCGAATGATGGAAGAATGATGCAATTTCTTTTGTCAATCTGAGATAGGCAGATCTCTACTGAAGACCTAGTAATGAGACATTGGTTGAGAGTGGTTGAGGAGACATTGCATTGACTTAAGTACAATGGACATTTGTTTTGTTTTACTTCCTGCTCCCAGAAAAGCTGTTAAATGGGGGATCATGCTCTTGGTCTCTCTCTCGCTCACTCACTTGCTTTTCTATCTGGAAAATGTCTTGTTTTTCTCCCCCTCTGTGTGTTCAGGGCAGTTAAAATGAGCACACTTAAGTTTCATACATCAGCATCAACCGACACAGCTCTGTGTCATGTGAGAATAGCTGTGCTGCTGCAGGAGCATTAATTGACACCGACAGTACAGACCTAGGGGCAAGGGTTGATTAGAACAGTTATCAGAGGCTGTGGAGGCAACCGAGGAAATAGAAAACACATTGTGACTGAGGAAGGAGAAGGAACACATTGCAAAATGAAGACATGGTGCTTGAATGCTGAAGTATTGGGTTGCGGGCAGAGCGGGGAAAGCATACTATTTAATTCATTTTGTTTATATGCTGCCTTTCTTCTTGCCCAGGTCCCAAGTATATAGTCACCCATAGCATGGACCTTAGACCAAACTCCTTCTGTTTCTATCCATCACTGCCCCTTTTCTTAATCTCATTTAATTTGTATTTATTTTAAATACAGGCCTAGTTCATTCAGAAATCTGGACCAGGGGTATAGCACTATTTGCAAGAATAGCAGGAAGCCTAGGTTTGCACAGTTCACCTTCCATGCCTTCACAGCTCAGGGATGGAGATTGAAAGCTTTTGCTTCTGTTTTCAGCCGTGGGTTTTTGTTTTAGTATATTCAGATCTGGCCAAATCATGGTTTAGAGCAGTGGTTCGCAACCTTTTTTTTGACCAGGGACTACTTGGAACAGGGACTACATTGACCAGGAACCACTCTCCAACATTAGTACCAAAAGGGGCACAAATCAGTTTTTGGTCAACTTTAGATTCAGTTTGGTTATTTGTGGTGCTGACTCGGA